ATGTTAAGTAAATTCCCAACACACCGCCTCCCATGAATTTGATTTTTTGAAATGAGTGCTGAGCTAAAAAAATCTTAAAAGTAAGGATATACCATTCTAAAGGTAGAATTATCTAAAAATAATTTGTATTGTCTATGGTAAACAACATAAGAATTAGTAAAAGCACTGATAAATAATTTTTTTAATTTATTTGTTAAGTTTTATTAATTAAATCATAATAACAATTCAGCAACAAAATACTTAGATGATCAAGTTTCTTAGCTAGAAGAATGTTAGGTCATGTTTAAAAATAGCATTGAAATTTTTTCTCGATGCTGCATAGACATATTGTCCAGAAAATCAAACTTATTGATAGTTTCTTTTGTTAAATTTTATGAAATATTAAACTTTATAAAATTAGAAAAGCTAACTATTTAATTGTCAAGATCTTCCATATTAAATCATCAAGAAAAGTAATAGTACGGAACATACCTTAATTTTTTGGGAATAATTTCTTATTACTGGATCTTGAATCTGGATTATTGGCTCTTTTGATTATTTTGTTCTTGATCTTGATTTTGCATCTTTCTCCATAATCTTGATTATCTTGTTTATCGATTTAATTATTCCAATAATTCTTTTTGACTGTGGGTTTTTTATCTTCCTCTTCAATATGCTTTCTCTTGTATTCTTCTGTTGATGTGATGACACAAAAAATAAGTTGCATATGAATTGGGGACTACAACCCTATATATATAGTTTCCATATGTATTGTCAAATACAACCTTAATGGATATGATCTCTACACTTATAATTCGGCCCACGTTTTATTTAGATACTCTAAACTCAACAATTTAATTCATTATTAGATTACTTTTAACTGGGCTTAACTTTAACATAGTCTTATACACAATTAATTACATATGTAGACCCCACATGATAAATTAATAAACCAAACAATTTCCACTTTGGTCATATATGTTACCTTATAAATGTGTACAACCTTATGATGTCAAAATTTTTGCTATCATAACCAAAAGTATCTTTTAATAATCTTGTCCATTAACTATGTCAATATAAGATCAAAANAATTTCGTCCATTGATTATATCAATATAAGATCAAAGCGGTCTTCGTTGTTACAAATATTATAACTAAACTCTCAATGGTCACGTATATCAACATAATCAAATGACATAAATCAATTGTGGATGTGTAGCATAGAAATTACATGTAATGTGATCCAAACATATCTATTTCTAACTGGCCCTACTTTATTTTTTAATGAGATCTACCATAAACTTTAATTATGGTAGAACTAAACTAAATACTTTATTTATGAAATAAACCGAATATCCATGAATAAAAATGTGTCTAAAATAGGCAGTATCTGAATGCAAACTCCCACTAAACTGACATATCATCAAAAGATGCAACACCCTTGTGAGTATTATTCTCATGAAAGACCTTGTGTGGTAGCCATTAGTGAATAGATTCATGATTATGGAGTTTGACCTAATATACTTTATAGAAACCTAACCACTCTGAATACTTTCCGACAACTAGAAACTTAATATCTATAAATTTTAACATCATTAGGCTCCTATTGGAATACAAGACTGCTATTGTCATAAAATAACTAAAGTTGTCTTTCAAATCCATGCAAAATATGTAGCCCGTGACAATATTTTGCAATCATATTCCATCATCAAAATCAGAATATTCAATGATCCCCAATTGATCTGATTTTCCTAAATGTGATTGTGTAATCCTTATTTCTCTATAGATACTGAATAATTTAAAGGCTGCTTTCCATATTTCCATCACAGAGTTACTTAAATGTATGCCCAACATTCTAATAATGAATACTATATCCGGATGTGTGCAAACCTATGTATATATTAATCTCTCGACTGCTGAAGCACAGGAAATTTTCTGTATTTTCCTTTATTTATGTTTATCCTTGGGGTATTAATTGAGACTAAACTTGTCACCCTTAGCAATAGGGGTATAACCTGATTTATATATCTGCATCCAAAATCTCTTAAAAACTTATCAATATAACTCTTTTGATACAAAAAATACACAAAGAACAAACCCTGTGTATCCATATCTTTAATATAAAAGAAGCTTCACCAAAAAATTTCATAACAGAAATCTCTTGATTTCGTGCTATAAGCTTATATCATTGTAGGGAAGCAGTATGTCATCGATATACAATACCAAAAAATATGCGTACTCCCACTGAACTAGTGATATACACAATCAATAACCGAATTCATTTCAAAACCAAATGTAGTTTAAGATCAAAATGTGTCACAAATGTCATAATTGTCGTAAAAGAGTCTTTCATAGAAATCGGAGAAAAAGTCTCTTTAATGTCAACGTCTTCCTTTTGAGTAAAGCCATTTACAATAAGACGAGCTTCATATCTCTCCACATTACCCTTCGAATTTGTCTTAGTTTTAAATATCTAATTACAACCAATGAGTTTCGCACACTGGGACAATATGATGAGTTCCCAAATGTCATTGTTACTTATGAACTTTCTCTTTATGCATGACATTAATTCACTCTTTAGTATTATTCATTTTCATGGTTTGATAAAAGTTGATTGATCAGTTCTTCTTCCATCAATTCATGACATCCTTATTTTCTTGGAAAAAGACTATAAAGTCATTCAGAATTGTTTTTCTCCTTTTTATAGTGGATTTCCTTAATGGCATTTGTTTTTGAGGTTGTTGAATTTGTTTTTTTTGGAACAATCTCTTGATTGCGTATGGGGGATTTTGTAATATTGTCTTGATTCAAAATTGCTTCTTGAACAAGATCTGGAGTAAGAATTTATCCACAATCCTGATCATTGTCAATTGCAACAGAAAAATATATGCATATTCTTCCTCCAAGACAAAATTCTTAACCTTATAACCTTATCTCCCCCCACAAACTCTACATCCTCAAAGAATCAGACATTTCTCATTTCGAAAATTGACCTTATAGTGGGATCTTTTAAAAATTTGTAACCCCTTAACAATTGCTTTACTTGGAACTTTTTTGAAAATTTAAGCTATAGTCATTAGTGCTTCTACCTAGAGAGATTCTGATGTACTGTGGGACGATTCCACATTCCTCTAGAAATTTAGCAAAACACTCTGGACGTTGTTCTCATGATCAGTCATATATGTCATAGTATTTGCCAGTGTTCTAAAAAGGTAGCCTAGCCGGGAAGCATGATGAAAACGCTTCGCCTTGAGCCTAAGCAGGAATTAAGCGGTCAACAACAACGTTGACCGCTTAATGCTCACCTAGGCGTTCTAAGGAGACGCCCAGGCGTGCTTTCGCCTTGAGCCTCATCGAGAATTAAGCGGTCAACGACAATGTTGACCGCTTAATGCTCGCCTAGGCGTTCCTATGCGACCCCTAGGTGCGCCTCCGCCTCAGGCCCAGATTTTAAGGGGGGTCCAATTTTTTCCCTTTTTTTAAAATAAAACCCACAGCCCAAATTCAGTAGCCCACTATCCCTTCACACTTCAAAAACTCTAGACTCCAGAGAACTGAGAATACGGAAGAACGACGCAAAACCTCTCAATTTCTCTTCACACCGCACTTATTTGGGTATCAGGTACGTAAAAAAATGATCAAAATGAAATAAGGGAACCCAAGAATGATGATTTTGTATCGGACGATACGGATGACGAATTAGATAAAGAAGAAGATATTGAATTGAAATCCAATAAAGAGTTGAATTAGATAAGATTTAAGCTACGAATTATCTACGTTATATAATTATGATTTTGAAACTTATCTTTATGTATAAATTAGTAAGTAAATACTGTATTTTATAATTTTAGATGTTTGGTATGTATTATTTGAATTGTTGAATTTTTTT